GAGTGAACACAATATATTTTTTACATGTGAAGAAACTAAAGCTTATCAAAGTTAAAACTTGAGTTTGCTCATATAACTAGAAAGTAGAAGACATGGCATTTGAATATAGCTGCTTTAATTCCAGGGCCAGAGGGAAGATTTACATCATGCTCCCCACTGTTTGTGTTAGATAGTCTATGTGTCTATTATTGTTTTTCCTCAGCCATATCTGACTAGCCAAGACATAATTTAATTCAGAAGAAAAAGTTCCATGAACAAATGTATTTAGGAAATATTTGGCTCTAGCCATATCCCCATCTCAGAGGTTGCATTGCATATTATATTAAAATGCTCTGAGAAATTTTATGCTGACTTCACCGGTTTCACCATGCAGATGCATTGAGGCACACATCCTTTCATTTTCCATATGCTGATAATGAGATTCTACCAAAGGCACGTGTGAAGACCTAGTCTAGTTTCCTCACCGATGCCAATGGTGAGAAAGAAGGGAAGCAAAGCAGCAATGCAATCAACAGACAACATAATCCAGAAACTAAAAATGTTTACAGTGTAAAGCAACTACCATGCTTACTAAGACAATAATGATAGAACTCTATCGTCCAGCAAAATAGAATAACAAAATTGAGCCCATTTCCGGACTGTAACTGTGCCAGAGACATTCACTCTGTGTGCCGTAGGCTATCATGACCAATGCAATGGGCTCTGAAATAAGAGCGACGAAGAGGTCTCCCAGTATCCTCAGTTTGTGCCTCTCCATGAGAAAGCCCTGGCCATGCTAGGAAGAAGATAGAGAAGTAAGGAATGTTTGATGCTTGTGTATGCCAATTTTCGGATTGAAATTACCCTAGAATGCCCAGTTATCTACTGTCCACAGATTTTCCAATGCTTTAATAGATCTCCCTCCAAACTCACTGACTCCACATTCTAGGAAAGTTTCCCAGTACTCTTCACTCTAGTCTCAATAAAAACTAGAAGGGCAATCAATTGTGTAACTAATACAATTGCTGCCAATTTGTAAAAGATAACTTTCCGTTTTCTAGTCACTGACTGCTGATTCTAAGATGACTCTCAGGAATTTTAATGTACCCTCAGAAATGCCATCAATTTTTATCACAAGATAGCGCAGGTTTTAGTACATGGCCAGATTTCAGGTATGTTGATATAGGAGAGAAAAGAATGTATGGAATGCAGGACAATGGAATTCTGTATCAGTAAATATTAGGCAATGGAGAATTGAATAGAAATTAAACCCTCTGTCCATCACTTGCTCACTAATAAATCCTCTGTACAAAGCACCCTGGCACCCAAAGGTCCACAGTGTTTAAGATGAAGGGATCTGAGTTTGCAGGCTAAGAATGACTAACAAGTAATTAGAACTCAACTTCCCAGGGCAGTAATATGCACAGTTAAATCCATGTTCTTTGCCTGTCCATAACCTCACGCTGTCCATAACCTCAGTTAGTTTATACTGACCAAACAGACATAAACGGGAAAGAAAATTTCTCATGCCTTATTATAGGCCAATTTATTTTTTATTTTATTGTGGTTATGGGCTGGCTTCTTTTATGGAGCATTCTAGATGGCATCTGAAGAAAAATCATCCCCATCTTGTGGCAAGGAAAACAAATTCCCTTCATCTCGTTGTTAAATTGCATGCTTCTTTTCGACTCCGTGCTTCATGCTGGCCCAGGCACTTTAATGAAAACCAGCTAAGCAAGCTAGTTTATCACACAGGCAGCCGGTGGGCAGCAAAGGCAAGAATCTTAGGACTGAGGCATTAGGCGATAGGAGGAGGAAAGAAATGATATCAAACCTGTAAGGCTAAGATTCGTCAGCCCATGAGTCAGAGGGTGCTCAGAGCAACATCTAAACGGTTACGCAGCAATCTCATACTCTGCTTTTGACATGCCATGTGCAAATTCCCAATTAATACCAGAGAACTGCCTGGTTTGCTCAGGAGAATTCTGGGGACATTGGGTGCTGTGACGCCTTCCTTTTGACTCTTTATAGTATTCGACACAGGAACACTAGACAGATTAAGAGAAGCAGCAAGTTTGAAAACACAATGCGTATAATCGAGAATTTGTACACGCTAAACATTTTCCTGGTTTTAGTAGGTTTCCTTTGTGTGAAAACAACACACCAGTTACCCAAACATTAGACCGGTGATAGTAGAACAACTTCTTACCACCTTGATGAGATTAGTCCCATCCCTGTGGAAACGCATGATCTTGGACTTGACATGCCTGGTTATGCTGAAGCTACTCCTGCTGACAAGTGAACCCTTCCTGTGTCTCTCTTTCCACGTATCTTCATTAGCTTAAGTCAGTGGCCCGAGTCAGTCATGGCAGGCATATTACGACAAAACACTGGTAGACTCCACAAACAGGGCCAATTGTCTCAAAAAAGGATATATATTTATGCTATCAGTGCTGCCAGAGGAAAGTGCTACAGTATATTCTGCCAAAATCATCTAAAAATACATCCTGCTCAGTATATATCTCTAAGATGCTCAAAGCAAGCTAACCTTCACCTCACAAGAGCTACCTCATGGCCTCAGAATAAGAGTCCTGAGTAAACTTTTCCTTCTTTTCCAAATACCTTGGTGGCTACTCACCCTTTGATGGGAGAGTCCCCTCTGTGTACTGCGATTATCATTAATGAATAAAGAAACTGCCTTGGCCTGTTGATAGGGGAGAACTTAGGTAGGTGAGGAAGACAGAACTAAATACTGGGAGGAAGAAGCGTGGAGTCAGAGCAAGACACCATGGAGCCACCAGAGTCACACATGCCAAATCTTTTCTGGTGAGCCACTGCCACGTGATGATATACAGATTAATAGAAATGGGTTAAATTAATATGAGTTAGCCAATAAGAAGCTAGAGCTAATGGGTCAAGCAGTATTTTAATGAATATGGTTTCTGTGTGATTATTTTGGTTCTGGGCAGCCAGGACAAACAGGAGGCCTTCCTGTTACAACCCTGAACTTGTAGCTTCAACCAGGGAAGAAAAAACTTCTATCCTTGGCATTTATTATGAGAAGCTTATTATTCATACACAACTACTTTAAAAATCTGATATGAGGAAACTTCAATAAAAATCACTGTTATGCTACAATCATAAAACCAATAAAACTTAATGAGTACGGAGTACACAAGAAGTTACAAGGCAAAAAAATGGAACAAGAAACCCAGTATAAAACCATTGAACTTAGGCTTCTAACACAGCTCAGTGGGTAAAGATGTTGCCTATGTAAGGGACCTGAGTTTGAGCCTTAGAGTCCAGCTGAAGGAAAGAACTGACTCCCTTGAATTCCACACACACATATACTTCCCACACTGGATATTCATATAGTAATAATAACTCAAAATTAAAAATAAATCATTGAAACTATAGATAACTATTCTAATATATCTGTAATGGAAAGAATAAATGGCCAATAGAAAAATACATATAAACGCACACACACACACAACACACACACACACACGATAAATTAATCTATAAAAAAAGCAAACTTCTAAGCTTTTCCCAACAGACATTTCCCAAATGAAGTGTTGAATAGTGTAATGGAGAGGATACAATGGACCTGATTTTTGACCTATTGCTTCAGCTATTTCAGAGGATAATAAATGTTTCAGGATACTAAAGTATGAGAAATTTACTAAGATTTGGAACTGTGTCAAATATATTTTAGCTATTTCTTGATGCTTTCTGAAATTATATACATACAAATAATACTATATAAACTAAACACCCTTAAAGAAAAAGAGGTCACAAATTTAATAGTGAGCAAGCAGGGTATGTGGGAGAGGTTTGAGGAAGGAAAGGGAAGAGGAAAATTTCTGCAATTATATTTAGTTTCAAAAATATTTAAGAATTAAAATGAAAAAAGTGTGTGTGTGAACTTGGGTATGTGTGTTCAATAGTATATTTGGCAATAAGAGGACAACCTGGGGTGTCAATCTTTTCCTTCTGCCAAACTAGCTGGACCCCCAAGCTTCTAGGGATTCTTTAGTCCCAACCTCCCATTTCCAAAGGGTAGAGCTAGAACCAGGATTACCTTGTGCTGTGGGTTTAGCTTTTAAATGGGTTCTGGAGATTTGAACTCAGGTCCTCACGCTTGCAAGCAAGTACTTTCACTCATTAAGTCCTCTTCTCATTCTCTAGTGCAACTTTCATAGCTGTTTTTGTTTTTTAAATTTTGATACTGATACAAAGAAGTGTTAAAAAAAACAGTGATCTGATAATAAAACAAATCTTGCTAGTAACTGAAGGATTAGTCAGCATGATTTCTTTTTAAAAATTATTGAACGCTTACACATTTTAATCAAAAACACAAAAATCTAGTAGCTTCAGGCCGGTAGATAAAATAGCAACCAAGGAGCACATAAAATTCTTATTCTCATTGAATTGCCTCTTCTCAAAATATCGCTGATCAAATATTGCATATAATTAAAATGTTTAAAGGTAGAAAGTGCAGGGGAAAGTACGATATCAAACAAAGGGACACCTTGGAAACCATTTTCCCTAGAATAAAATCAAGGTGTTGATGAGCCAACTCAGAAGTTTTCAATTTCTGTTTAGGTGGCAAGGTGTCATTAGGAGAGATTAGGACAGATTTACTTCCCTTGTTTCATCTGGGTCTAGACATGCTGACGGAAGGAGAGCATTTGAGCAAACTGTGGTGTGCCGACGTGTTTTTCCTTTCCTTTCTACTCACAGGGTTGGTTTGTTTTCCCTGTCAGGTTTTCACTCTTGAATCTTGGCTTAGACCTTTCCCAGCAACTAAAAGGATTTTCCAGACATCCAAACAATGGTAATAAAAATATTTCCCAGAATTACCAGATCGCGTTCCAAACCACAGAAAGCATCTTTACAACCAGTGGCCTCAATTCTGTTTTTAAAAGTCTCACTGAATCAGGCCCACAAAATTGCCTTTAACCATCAGGAACTACGAAAACCCCCAACTATGAAGTATAAAGAGCAACGTGACCGACCTTCAGAGGAGAAATATGAGACTGTAGGACGTATCCGTGGACATTTTCTATTTGCGAGAGGTTCTTCTCCGATACGTGCACCAGTTCTGGCCCTCTTACTTCATGAGTTAGCCGAGGTAAGGAATGATCGTGTGGCCCGTCCTCATCTTGGTAGCGATACTTCTAGGAGAAAAGAAAAGAGGGGAAAAATGCATCAGTGTTGAGAGGGATTCCAGTAGTTTGGACTTAGCTGGACGTACTGTGTGACTACGTTTGGCTTTGCCAAACACTGGGCTGCAAACTCTTCCAGGTCATATACCTTGTCAAGTCTAAATAAAACTGCATGGTATTAAACCATGCTTTCTTTTTTGTCATGACAACATACTCTATTTCTGAGACAAAGAAAAACTGGTAACAAATAAGACTGAGAAAATTTATTTAGATAGATAGGAGCTATTCCTCCAAAAACCAAGACTAGCTACGGAGTGGAGTAGCTAATACAATTCAGTCATGGATGGAAATTAGAACTCTTATCTCTTACTCAGACACTTCATTTTGTTGCTGAATCTGTCAAAAGTTTAAATTCCCTTAGATAATGAGGGGGGAAATGCCACCCACAATATTTCTATAAGCTTGAAAGGAAAGATAGTTGCTCTTTCTTCAGTTCAACCCCTATGAAGAACACTGCTTTGGGCTTGCTGCATTCCAGGACAACCATTTCTAGGAATTAAGCTAGTTTTTAAAGAACTTCAAAAACCAAAACAAGAGTTTACTCAGATGACTACTGGAGGCTGAGGGAAGACTTCCTTCTCTTTTGTTTTCTTTCTCTCTGCGCTCACCAATCCTCTGCATCCCCAGAACAGCAAGGGACTTATCTGGCAAAGGCCAGTGCTAGGTATTTCCATGTCGCTCTCAGAAAGATGGCCAGGAGAGAAAAGGGTCAGGACAAGAACTGGTCTGAGGAAATGGAATCATTCTTGCTGGATGTTCTCCGCCTTCAGCCGTGGTTAGAGCCTCCAGGACCTGGGACTCTAGATCATGATAGCTTCCTGACCTTCCACTTTAGAGCTGTTCCCTTGGTGAGACTGCCTAACTATGTTTTCCTATAGCTCTGCTATAGGCATAAAGCAATTCCTTTATTCATTAATTGTAATTACAACATACAGAAGGGAATCCCACATCAATCTCAAAGGTTTTACAAAGCGAAAGAATATTCTGTATAAATTGCAAAGTCGTATAACAACCCCACTTTCAAGGCCAGCCTGAATGACTCAGTGATCTTGACTAGAATAAGAAAAGAAAGCATATGTGTAGCAGGAAATTATCACAATAAATGGAAGATCAAACAATGAGATCTTGGTTTCTTGGGGAATATGGCATTGTCCCCTTATCCAAATCCACAGTGATATCTTTTCAGAGCTTATGTCTACACTTCTTAGGAAGGTATCACTTGGGTAACGAAAGAGTCCTCTCTCAGATGGACCTAGGAGTGACCTGAAAAGCTAACCCCTATAGGAAGGAGAAACTCCACCTGTTGTGGAAATCATGATCCCATAGTACCCACCTACCAAAGGACATTAAAGAATTATGTTGGTGTCATACCCTGACAGAGCCAGCCTTAATGTTGTAGAAAATGCTGAGTCATCTTTCATTCTATGAATCTTTGGCAAGTTGCTAATGCCATTTAGGCTTCCTTTGGGGGTACTTTTTAATAGTAGCAAAGAAAGGGGACTATGAAAAGAGTCCTCTGCTTCGGAATTTATGCCATACTCTTCTCAGCTCCTTGCTTCCATGTGATCTATTTGAGAAGACTTCACTTGGGGGGAAAACTTATGCTTTGTGAACAAACATTACTTCGTTCATCTTTCATGAGAGGAGAAGCAAAGGCAGTGCTCCTGCCTGGAGTAATGCGGTACCGTCTCTTCTGTTCTAATTTCGTTTGGAGCATTTTGTCTCTGCCTTCAGGACTCCGCCCTGGTTTTAGGCTTAAGCTTCCCTTCAACCCTAGATTCCAACAAAGAAACTTTTTATATTTGCAACAATCAGATTGGGCATTATCTCATTGGAAGTCCTCTGTTACTCTTAGGGATGTCAAAAGATTCCCGACCCTGTGTATCCTCTTGGATGTTCCCATAACATTCTACACTGATTCTAATCAGTGAATAACATCTATATTGTAACTGTGTGCCCATACCTTTACAATTTGTGATTGCCTGGTTGAAACTGATTTATCTCGAGCACTTCAGTGTCTACATGACATGAAGCGAGAGACCCATATCTAGAGGTTAATGGAATTACCTTTAAATTACCTGATCAAGGCTATGGTCCATCTAATCAAAAAAAATCCCACCAGGCAGAACATGCCTGAAAATATCTTCATCTTTTTTTCTACCACAGACTCTTACATGAATGAATTAAAATGAACAAATCTCACCAGAGGTTGTTTATTTCATTCTTCCAATATTAGCGTGTGAGTCAGAACCACCCCCAAAGTGCCCAGAATTCGGAGAAGCATAAACATGCTTGATCCAGCACGAGAGGTTCTCTGGCAATGTGGAAGGTGTTGCGGTGCTGGCAAAGTACATCGCAGCGCCAGAAGTTGGAAGGGCGCCAAGTGTTCATAAATAAAAACCTGTTTATCTTTTGTTGAACAAAAAGTACTCTACTCTCTGCTTCCCGCTTGCGGCAGTGGTTGGCACAAGATTGACAGTAGAGAAGGAGAGAGGAGAAAACACGGAGATAGAACTAGAGGGAGAGGGGAGGAAGAGAAGTGCGGTGGGGAGGGGTAAATCAAGAGCCGAGGAAAGCCAAACTATGCCTGTGTGCTTCTGAGTTCCTGGTGATACTGTGGTATCTTTCAACTAGAAGATACTATCTAAAAACCTTGCAAAGAATGTGAAAGATGTTCACTGTCAAAGCTATGCCATGAAGCAGGGGGCACAATCAAGCAACAATACTAACTCTTCGTACCAGACTGATACATGGGAACTGGTCAGTGTGGCTTCTGTTACTTATACTGACAAATAGCATTCTTTGTGCCCAAACACATCTCCTCCTGTCTGCTAAGCTCTCCGAGGGTCGGAATCAAGCCTTTACTTTTATCTCCCACAATGTTCACCCAGAACACTCCAGAGTCAGTTGACGAAGGGTCTTGGCAGAGAGAAAACATCTTTGAAGAAGAAGTTATTTCACAAACAGGAAAAACCTATTTCAGGAGAAGTAGAGCGTCAGTAAGAACATAGAACAAATAACAAGTCTACAAAGGAAGTGATGATTCCTAGTTAATACGCGAATACAGCACAGAATACAGAGAAAAGCCAAGTGGGAGACGGAAGCTGGCTTGGAACTGAACCACAGAAAAGGAACGGCTTTTGTTTCCTCCAAAAAAATTGCCACAGTCGAGCAGAATGACCAGCCTCCTGCTTGTGTTATGTAACATAATATTTGTATAGTTTGATAATTGTTTCAACGCTTTTCTTATTTGAGGCCTGTGCACATAGATCTGGCCCTTTCCTGGTTCCTTCCTCGATTCCTCTATCAATCTGTGACTTGCATCTGCTGCAGACTCTCTAACTTATGCCTCATTTCTGGAAGAAATGAGTAGATGAGGAGGCGCTGGAGGAAGATAGAAAGGGTTGGTGTAGGAGGAGGAGGCGAAGCTAACATCGAATAGAAGAAAGAGACGAGGAGTGCTCAGCATAGTGAACAGGAGGCTGGCTGATCAATTCTTGTATATTCACTTCATTGATATAAAATAAACTACTTGAACACCAGTTTGACTGGACTAGGGTCCTCTCTCCTCTTCTCGGGTGTTATGGAATGGAAGAAAGAAAGAGCAGGGGCAGGATAGACATTCGATAATTTCCACAGTTTCTTTCCTGAGTCTTTCCCCTACCACACTGCTTCTTGCTTTTTTATATATTTACTTATTTATTTATTTACTTATTTATTTAATCATTTTTGGTTTTTTGAGACATGATTTCTTTGTAGCTTTGGAGCCTATCCTGGAACTAGCTCTGGTAGACCAGGCTGGCCTCAAACTCACAGAGATTCGTCTCTCTCTGCCTCCAGAGTGCTGGTACTAAAGGTGTGTGCCACTACTACCCGGCTCTGCTCCGTGCTTTAAAAGCTTTCTAGGTCATCCTGGTCTAAACGAGCTAGTTCTAGGACAGGCCCTAAAGCTACAGAAAAACTCTGTCTCGAAAACCAAAACTAAACAAAAAGTTTTCTGGGGACACAGAAGACATGCCACTTCTTAAATTTGACATTCATTTCAATGATTATTTTTCTAATGTCCATCTGCCCCATCAACTGACTCTTCTGTGATAATGGGGACTCTATTTCTCCGTTGGTCACAGACTTCTAGTACCTGATATGCAGTAGGTCCTCGATAAATGTTGAATGAATTGTCTGGCCCAATCTGTCTTCAAAATCTATTATTCAAAGACCCAAAGGAAGTAGGTCAACGTCAGTGCTTGCTGGCCACACACACGCCTGCCCTTGTGATAACAACTTCTGAGAAAACCTCCCACAGCCAGCCGAACAGCTAAGCCTGCTGAGTGCCTGAAAGAAGAAATTTGATCAGATTTGGGACAGGATACAAGCAAGAGCACTGGCTTGAGAGACAGACCACTCTTCCAGGTGCTTCCTTTGAATTTTTTTCAGACCTGTTTCCCAACTAAAAGGAAATACGTTCCTGCTTTTTTGCCACCAAGAACAAGACAAGCCAGGATGTTAATTAAATTACAAATCAGCTGTCTGCTTGCAGCTGACAGAGCTTTGTGTGCTTCCAAGCAACGTCGGATATTTTTAAATCCTCTGTAATTACCTACAATGGAGAAGCTGCCAGGAAGGATGCCTCCATGAATATTTAATCGCTCTCAAGATTCTTTTTAAAGCACCAATGATTTAAATAATCAAGAGAGACCCTACTGTTGATCTGGGCTGCCCTCCATCTGCCCACAGAAGATTCTAGAAGCCCAGTTAAGAGTGCAGCTTTTTCCTGAGTTAAGCCCACATATGAAGGAGGCCATATTCATTCAGGGAGTCACGAGGACCTGAGTGAGTTCTTTGAGTATGTCGGTATGGAATCGCAGACTGACTTGTGCAAATGTAATGGGTGTGGTATTGTGATATTTACATAAGTAGCATACAGTCAGAATGATTTATTTTTTTAAATAAAA